GGGTGGATGGAGCTTTGCCCGGCGATTTGCTCGTACGTTTGGTGGGAGACATGAGTCACGTGGGGGTGGAAGCTGTTGGAAGAGCAGTAACGCTAGGAGTGTATGTCGTGCAGCGCCGACCACGTACAGGAGGCGATTGTGGTGAAGTGCTTTCTCAAAAATAAGAGAATAACCCTAATAAGGAGTCACCATCCCGAATCAGTGACAGCGTCAAGTTGTAAGAGAGGATTTATATCGCCCAACAGGGATTCATGTAGCTCGAGGTGGATTGGCCATGATAAGTGGCATCCCGTATGAGCCGGCGATGGATCTGGTATGGATAACGTATGGGAAGGCAGGATCCACCAAGAAGAGACTCGGATCCACCCTCACCTGGGTTCACTTAGGGGATGTGAGATATACCATGTACAGGTGGATCGAGTGGGGATCCTTAGAAGGAAGGATGGTAGGTGCCATCTAAAGGTGAACCTGGGATCAGCGACTAACGAGAAGGCAAGATCCACAAGGATATGTCATGTACAGGTGGATCGAGTGGGGATCCTTAGAAGGAAGGATGGTAGGTGCCATCTAAAGGTGAACCTGGGATCAGCGACTAACGAGAAGGCAAGATCCACAACGATATGTCCCTGATCCCATACTTCCGAGTCTGGATCCGAGGGTGTGTGGATTCCACACGGCGTGACCTGGATCCAGGATACGGGGATGGTGGATACAGTGGGCCTCGAACTTTTGTAGAGTGATGGAGACCACAACCTGTCGCAAGACAATGTTGGGAGATTGAAAGGCCCAGATCCATAACGAGTGTACACTTGCAGTGAGGTGGGTCAAGGTGGCCTGGATCCGGACAAGTGTACCCATAATGTGACGGCCATAATGATTACGCCATGGATCCGGTGCATCTGATGATAATACAGCTGGGATGATGGGTCAAGGAGAGAAAGGACATGCCGCCGAGTCTCGTAAGGGATTTAGAAGGTAAAAGGCATAGAAGGTAGGAATCCAGGTAGGTATAGGCTTAAGTATCAATACAGAAGTCAATTTGCACAGTATAACACAAGTGCTTCCTGCCCTCAAGAACAGGAACTACATTTACCGTACGAGCTCAGAGAAGGTTGGGAATTGCGAAACTAGTGTTGGTAGTGATAACTGGATAATATATTGGCCAGATCCTACAACCTAGTGATCTTTCCTTTACACGTGCAGATCCGACAGGTTAGCCGGATTTACTACTTGGCCGGCTACATCCTAGAGGCTCTCAAATTTCAAGATCCCGTCACAAGAGGCGGCAAGTACGACGCAAAGGAAACGCAAAGGCAAGGGACACACCCGCAAGGCAACCCTACGGCCAGATCCCAGATCTAGGCCCTGGATCCACCAAGCTTGAATATTCGCCTAGGATCCAGAACCAACCACGGACGCAGAGTGAAGATTTTACCACTGCTGCTTCACCCCATCCCCACGTCTCGCCAAGACACTCAAGCTTCACCACTTGAACGCTTCGGAAGTTACCGAGAGAGCAAGATCCCGCCCTACCGACGGTACACAAGGTGAGGAAAGTTCAGCAGATCACGGATCATCGGGGACCCCCTCCGTTAGTCGGTGTCTGGGTGCCGTTAATAAGTTGGATCCAGCAATCTCGCAGATTTTGCTGATCCCGCTACACCACAAGGCCATCCTCGACGACAGAACACCAGTGTCGACGAGCACGGAGCGTGTTGTACGCGAGTTCAAAGTCAAGTGGGTGGGCTACGAAGACCCAACTTGGGAACCAGCATCCAACTTGTCGTGTGGAGGTCTGCTGTACGACTACTTGCGAGCCAAGAAGAGCGAGAATCGGCTGCAGATGGCGCAAGTGGCGGACGAAGACTAGCGGGATTGGATCACGTGTGAACTGTCCACAGGGCGATGCAGCCTGTGGTAACAGACGAAACAAGCTACTGCAACAACAATTTGTATATGCATTTGAAGAACAATATGAACATGATTACGCTGTGGAAGTGGATTAAGAATAAGAAAACATGAATGCCGACGGAAGTGCGACCACAGAAAACGGAACCTCGCTGGACGCCTCAACAGTACCTGGGATGTCGGAGAACATTGTGGAACATGCAGCGAGGATTCAAAGTGACTCCAATTAGCTGGCAGCGGTAACCAAGAGTGTCAACGAAGTTGAGTTCTCACTCTCCTTCTCCTCTTCGTCGGGAAGCTGAACCTCGGCAGCTGGAGCCGCATCCGGAGCTTGCGAACTCTCGGCACCAGCTTCAACAGGAGCAGCAGTCAGAGCGTGGCGTAACCGGTGGCGAGTCAAACAGGTCGCACCAGGTCGGAATCAGCTCAGCAGGAGCCATCACCGTGGATCCAGCGACGACAGGAAGAGCCGCAGGAGCTGCAGCAGGAGGTAATGAGTCCGAGGCAGGAAGCACCGGAGGTCCAGCTGACGACGTTGCCATCGAAGGAAGTGAAGCAGGCTGAGGGTTGTTCGAAGCCTTGGTGTCGCCCTCCTGAGAAACGAGACGAGTAATGCATGGTGATGAGCAAGGTACCGATGATTCAAGAAGAAGATGAGCTGACTTACCTCCAGCTGTTCACGTTCACGTCGTCGGCGAGGATTAAGAAGTTGGAACGCGTTATTCACGGCCCGATTCGGACGCTTGGACATGTGACTAGATGGTGAATTGGAGAATGAAGAAATGTCACAACGGGCACCAGTACCGTGGCTTCCATTGCGACAGGGGCAGTTGTGGTGTAGTGATTTCTCCATAGTTGCGGATAATCGCCCGTCGACAAAGACGTGGCACCGCCCAAGATGATCAAGCGACGAACCCTCGGTCATGTGTTGTACAGTGACTCCAAGGTGCAAGAGACTCGACGGCGTCAGTACCGAGCTCTCAGCGAATATTGGATACGGTCCATATGTCACTGAATCCAGGCTGTCCTTACTATTAATAATGGACGGGCCGGATTCGCATTCACCGGCCAAGAACTGACCGTCTACGGTACGAACCCTCGGTGGCGGTTGAGATGAGTTCGCGGAAGACTCAGCGACCCTTGAAAGACACGTTCACCGTCTGGGACAGGGCGCGGGTCGTTAAAGATACTCATGCGACGGTGCAGACGACGCTTGGCGTGCAAGAAGATCCATAACGGATCATTGCTCACTTGATATTTGTACACTTGATTCGGACTTCTTATTAGGAATAGACCCGAAAGAGTAAACATAAATACAAAACAGAATTTCCACTCAAGCACACAGAGCGACGTCCGGTTTCAAGGTAAGCGTCTGGACAAGCTTGTTTGAGTGTGTTATGCCTGTCGGTGAGCTCGAATCTCTGTAGCGAGGGTTCATCCGGCAAGGCCAAGAGACTTTGTGCATTGGCCGATTACTATCGGGCGGTTTTTACGTGACGGCTTATTGTGCCTA